AGGGAGGGAGGCAGAGCCACGGGGGGGAGGGAGGGAGGCGGGCAGGGAAGGGTGGTGTTCCTGGTTCGGGCCTCTGCTCAAAGCCTCACTCAGCCCATCCTCCAGAGTGTGAAATACAATCCGGGAAGGCCAGTCCAATCCACTTGGCTGCCAAGTGATGGTGGGTATGCTGGGAACCACCCAAAGCTGGAGGAAAGCTCGATACGTGTTCCCAGGCAGAGCTTTGCACTTACCTCCCCCATCAAGTTACCAAAAAAAAGATAACGAAAAAGGAATCTGGATTCTCCAGTACTGGCCCCCGCCCCAGTGAGGCCCAGGAATACCCACCAAGGGCTCAGAGCCTCCACATCAGTGTTCTCAGTAGACGAGAGCTCTGGCAGCGCCCCCCTGAGGAGGGCAGGGTACACCCCTCCTTGTGCAGGTGGCAGCTGAGCCACGCCCACCCGGCCTCTGCAGTGGTAGCAAACGAGGCTTCCACCTGTCATCTTGGTTTCCTGTCTCCTGCCCCTGGGCCTTGCCAACCAGCCGGTGAGGTTTCTAAGGCACCACGGGCACCCAGCTTCCCCAAAGAATGGGTCCCGCCAGGGAGACCCAGGACGAAACAAAAGGCTTTGTGGGAGCCCTACCCCCGCAAACCCCAGGTGACACACATTCCGATCCTGTCCCTGGACACGCACTTGTGGAGGTCATGCAGCACGACAGGGGAGGAGGGCCGGGAGAGGGGCCACAGTCCCCAGCCCCCTGCCCGCAGGGGCGGCTGTTGGCATGAGGGCAGTGGGCCTTTGGAGGCGCAGGATGAGCGTGCTGCCGGGCGGCCCTGGGCGCATGCAGGGGCTCAGGACGCAGCCTCATCTTCTTGGACGCCGGGGAGCTCCGGGCTTTTGCCTCCTTCACCACACCCATCCTTCCTGTTCAGGGGACACCAGAGGCAGAGGGACCTCAGGGGTCAGAACATGCATGCACGAGGACGCTCACACACACTCACAGGCATTTATATCCACATCTCTCAAATCCCCCCTCACCTACTTTCTAAGCTCATCTCAGTCTCACTCTCCTGCATCGTGGTCCCTTGCTGGTTTCCTCACCCCTAGTCTCAGCCCACAACCCTCCATGGCTCCCTACTGCCTGGGGACGAAGTCTAGATTTCCCAGCCTGGCTTCCGGAGCCTCTCCAGATCTGACCTTCCTGAGCTGGCTTCCCTGCATCCTCAAGGACCAGCCAGGTCGCAGGCCTTCCAGGTTGGCCTAGATCAGCCCCCATGGTCCTGGGTCGAAGGGCTTCGGTTTTGCATTTTCTTTTCTTTGTTCACAGGACAGGTTCTACCTGTCGTTCTCAGGATTCTGTCACATATTCAGTAGATTCCTGTATCTGCTTTTTTCCCCTAAGACCTTTTTTTTAAAAACATGATCAATGAGTGGATTTTGATACCTTTAAAAAGGATCGATCTCATTTAAATCTACTGTAGAGTTTCAATCATTATCCCGAAGCATAAAAAACAGAGACAATCAAGGACAAATGTCGGGACTCTGATGAGGTAAAACCTGCTTTTCAAAATTAAACTTGAGTCACAGAACTATAGAATGTTATAGCTGGGGAGTATTAAGCCCAATCCCTTCACAGTCCAGATGAAGGAACTGACCTGTCTCCCCATTAACATGTCCATGAAAGGACAACGATTGCCTTGCTCAGTTGTACTCTTGACGCCCAGCCCTGTGCCCTGCGTGGATGCGTCCCTGGCCTGTGACTGGCCTGAACCACCACTAGGGGGCGCCTAGTCACAGACACTGAGCTGGAGACCAGCCGTCCAGGTTTGCGCCTCACGGTTCCTAGTTCTGCCTGTTGTCCCCGGCACAGTTAGTAATGGCTTCCTCTTTCGCTCTCAAGAGTGGCTCCATTCGGACGCAGAATATGTGGTCCCCTACACTATGCCCAATTCCAGCATCGCAGCCTGCAGATCTAAAAGAGCCCAGGGAACACCCTCCCTAGGACTGGCCACCTCACAGAAGAGACAGGGAACAGGAAGTAAGCTTTGGACAGTTGAGGCCTCTCCCAGGCCCCAGAGCTCACCCCACTTAGGCCAGGGAGTCTGTCAAGAGGAGGGCAAGAGGTTGGTACGTGGCCCTCCCTGGGTGCAAGCAACCTCTGGCAGGGAGCAGACACCAGCTTGTCCACTACGATGGGACCCCGTACATCTGAAGAGGGTGGTCTCACACAGGTGAAACCCACATCTGGGCCCCTGGACAGCACAAGTGAAACTGCTCCTTCCCCAGAGGCCGACGTACCTGGACGGCGGCTCACCTCCCAGGGGAGCACATCTCCTCCGCAGAGCGGGCTGGCTGGCACAGCCCCTCTGTCCCGCAGCTCCCTTCGCAGGCTAGAGGAAGGCGACCCAAGTCCCAGGACCACATTCTGGTCCAGGACCCCCTTACTGTTTTCTCTCTGCAGGTCTGTGCGCAAACCCCAGCAGGCCTTGTCAGCATCCCAAACTTTTATTTCAGTGGAAGAAGGTGGAAAGGCTGAGGGCAAGGCTCACGGAGGTCTGGGGAACTGCTTTTCTGCCCTCCCCCAGGAGGGGGCAAATGTACCTGCCGGGCTCTGAGGCGGGAGCCGGCGGCACTGGGGGTTCCTCTTCCCCGGCCCAGCATCGTCGTCACCAGTCTGCCTGTCCTTACTCGCTGAACAAGCATTTACGAAGTGCTGACTGGGTGCACAGCCTTGGCAATGGCCGGATGTATAGCACAGGCCACTCAGGAAGGCAGCTAACCCACCGCGCCCCCGGACCAGGAAGAATCAGCAGAAGTGTCCCTCCCTCCACACACAAACCAACATTCTACAAAGAGATCTGCCTGCAAACCTCGACTAGGCTGCCGTGGGCTGAGAACAGAGGTGCAGACAGGGCCCTGCTCTGAGGCCTGGCCGAGTCCCCAGGCTCCGGGCTCAGCCTGCACAGCCTGGTGATGCTGAGAGTGAGGGGAGGGGCCGCAGCCCTCACCCCACCGCAGGGAGCACCCTGCAGGCCTCAGCCCACCAGTACTTACGACAATAAGCTTCCCGGGGCAGACATGGATCGCTCTTCCCTCCGCGCCTGGGGCTCAAACGGGTTCCCAAAGGAACGCTTTCTCAGCATGGACTTAACCAGGATCTGGGGAAGACACATCAGCGTGAGGGACATAGGCCCCCGGGTTCCCAGACGCACTGGCAGCCTCCACCCTGACTCCCGGACGGGGAGGCTGCTGGGTGGGCCCTGCTGAAGCTCCCTTTCCTTGGGCGGAGCAAGGAAGCGCATCCCAAGCAGAAGAAATGGCGAGAGCACGGAGGGGAGCTGGTTGAGGGTGAATTCTGGGACCGGCGAGGAGCCCGGTGCATCTGCTGCGTGGCGGGCACAGAGGCCAGGAGTAGACCAGGAAGGGCTGAGGGCATGGGGAGTGCAATTAGGAAATGCCTTCTGGCTACACAGGAAGGACGGAGTCGAGAAGAGGCTGTCCCAGGGGCCAGAGAGGAGCTGCACAGGGGCCTGGGGGGATGCCAGGAGGGGACAGGCTGCTGTGCCCTAGCTCTCTGACTGTCCCTCCTCCCGCTACAAGGACAGCTCCATCCTCCTGCCCACACGCACGCAAATTCTCACACACCAGCACAGCATCAGGGGTGCCCTTACTTCTTCCCTCCTTCCCTCTCCCTTCCAACAGAAAGTCTTTATTGAGCACCTACATATGCCAGACACTATTCGAGGCACAGGGACCACAACGAGACAAAAATTCTTGCCCTCATAGAGTTTATATTCTAGTTGTGGGGACAGGCAAAAAATAAGACAGATCAGTAGAATCTATGTTAGTTAGTGGTAAGGGCTCAGGAGGAAAAATTAAAACAAGGAAGGGGGATAAGGTATGACAAAGAGGAGGTTGGAATTTTCGATAAGGGGCCGGGAAGGTTCACTCACTTCTCACTGAGAAGGTGACTGTGGAGTGAAGACCTGGAGGGATGAGGAAGCGGCCCCGTGGACATCTGGGCCAGAGGACCCCAGGCGGAGGGAAGGGATGTTCAAAGGCACTGGGGCGGCAGCTTCCGTGGCGTGTGGTCGGAGTGAACGGAGGGAAGAGAGGAGGTGGGCAGGGGAAAGGGGGGCAGGCAGGCCATGCAGGGTCTGGCGGGCAGGCAGGCGCGTGGCTCTTACTCTGAGCAACACGGGAGCCTGAGTGAGCAGGGTCTGAGCTGAGAAGGGACGTGACCAGATCCCTGGACCACCCTGGCTGCTGAGTTGAGTGTTAACCGTAGTGGCGGCAAGGGTGGAGGAAGGGCAGGGGGACAACCTGGGAGGCGATTCCAGTGGTTTAGAAAAGAGAGTATGGTGGTTAAGACCAGGGAAGTGGCAGTAGGGACCCTACGGGAGCTGACAATTCCAGGGACCCCATACAGCCCTGGAGCTCTGTAGAGCACAGGACTTTAGCCCGCTGGCCCTACTGGACCCAGTAGGGAGGCATGAAGTGCACAGGCCAGACCCCATGCCAGGCACAGGCCCCAGCTCGCTCTCCTGGCCTTGTGCTCACCCTGACTCACTGTGAAACCTCAGCGCAGGGCAAGCCATGGCTCTCAGGTCCCCCCCCCCCCCAACAAAAGAAAACCAGATGGCCATCAGGGGCTACGTTAATAACTTCCAACTGTTAACGTGGGAGCTGTCCAGAGGAGGAGGCGAAAAGCTGAAACATGAGAGGAAAGCGGAGGGAGCACACGGGTGGTGTCTGCCTGACACGCGGGGGCCCCGGGACCACGTCTCCAAATCAAAGGCATGCTAGGCCTTTTCCCTCTCGCGTCCTTGGCACCTAGTCCGGTGCCTGGAAAATAGCAGAAGCTCAATAAACGTTAGGAAGGAAGAAAGGGAGGGAGGGAAGGAGGGAGGAAGGAAGGAAGGAAATGCTTCTCCGGTCGTGGTGAATGTTGACACTCAGCGAGGGCAGTATATTTAAACCATTCGCTCTCCTCACCACACCTCCTGGTCTCCCCACCACGAGGCTGAATAATGTGACCTTGTTCCTGTGGGCCTCTAGCGGAACAGTGGCCTCAGGGGCCCAGCATCGGGGTTGGCCAACCAGGAAGCCCTCTGCCCCCCACAGGCCCCAGCACAGAGCTAGTCTCAGGCGGCAGCCACGCCCACCCCCCAGGCCCTCCCAGGAGTCCGTGCCTCCCCCGCCCATCCTCTTACCACTGTGGTCCAGCTGGGGATGAGCCTGACTGAGTTCTTCACCTCCTCCTCCGTCACCTCGACCACGGTGCAATGCTCCTCCTCCGAGGGAAGGGGCTCCTCCCCATTCTTGGTCACCCAGGGATGCGACTGCAGAGCAGAGGGCAGGGAGGGTCAGGGCCACAGGCGACAGACATCGGCGAGCGAGGGACCCAGGCATCCCACCAGCAGTCGCCTTGAGGGTCCAAAGCCCCAAAACCCCAAACCCCAACCCAATACACAGATGTCCCCGGTGTAAGCCTCCCCAGAAGGGGAAACTGAGACCTGTTTCCTGTGGCCCAGCCCAGCCCAGCACCTCTGGTTCCCCAACCTTGATGTCTGGCACCCCGAGTCTTGTTTCAGGGTTCTTGTCTAGCATCTTCAGGATTAAGTCCTTGAGCTCTTCGCTGACCTTTGGCCTAAAGAAGGGGAAGGAAGGAGCCGAGGGAGAGACAGCTGATGGTCCTTTGCTTCCCACCTCTGCATCCCACCCTGCTCCAGGCTTCCCTGATCAGTGCACACCAGGGCAGAGACACCGCCGAGCCCCCTTCTCAGAGAGCAGGAGGGACACCCCCAAAGGCACCAGGGTGGAAGGAGAGAGCTCCAGAACAAGCGTGTGGATATCTTTCTCCCCTGAGTATGAAGTAAAGCAGTCTCCCTCAGGGGGCAGAGGTCACAGACACAAACGGGGTCCCATGGGTGCTGGACACCCCCTGGGAGGCAGAGGTGGCAAGGATAATGCGAGAAGAGCCGCTTTATGGGACCCCCAAGGGGCCTCCGCCCCCGCTCACCACCTTACCTTCTCCTCCGCCTGGGAGGCGGCCAGGGAAGACACCCATTTGACAGAGGAGGAAACCTTGGCTCACCGCCACCCAGAAGAGGGAGGGCAGGGGTGAGACTCAGGGGCAGGAGAGCAGGACTCAGCCCCGCATCAGCTTCGACTGTCTCTGCTTAAACTTCAGGCTTCGTTGCTACTTAAATTCTTGGGAGAAGGAACCTACTCTCAGGGCTATGACCTTGGCTCCCTCTGCTGTCCTAGATACTTAATCCCTTTTCAAACTCCTGGGCTGGGGAGCAGGATATACCGCGGGGGTGGCGGGGGAAAGGCTGGGAGACAAGCAGTCACGGGAAAGGGGAGGAAGCCACTGCCGTGGGGATGGCGGCAGGGAGCGGGGAGCCGGCGGCAGGTGAGCAGGTGGGGGGACCCAGGGGTCCTTGAACGCCCGGGCCAGGGCGTGCCTCTTCTTGTGGGCTTTGGGAAGCCTTGGAAAAAGTTTCAGCAGGCGGCGTGGTGAGATCTGTTGCGCTGCATCAGGGTCACTCTGGCCTGACTGCAGTAGCTGGACAAGGCAGAGGCCTGAACTAGGCAGGGGGTGCCGTTGGCAATGGAACCAAGAGAAATGTAAGAGGTGGACTCAGCACGGCTTGGGGCCGTACAGGAAGTGGGTGCGAGGGGCAGGGACCCTGAGCACAACTCCCAGGTTGGTTTCTGACCTGGGCACTGCGCAGATGGTAAAAGGGCCCTGAAAAGTGAGGCGCTAGGGGACTCAGGCTGGCTGCCATGGTAGCTGGCATCATAATCGGGAGAACCGTGGATGGGTGGGGAGGCCTCTCCAAACAGTCCTTCTGGGCTCAGAGACCTCAGTCACAAAGGAAGGGGCAAGGGGGAGGGAGTGGCTTCAAATCCCCGACCCACTGAGCCTCCACTTTTCCATCTGTGAAATGGGGGAGCGCACTGGCATCGTGAAGCCCTCCCACCCCGTGTGGAGAAGGTGGAGGTTCCCCGCGGGTGCAGGGTCTGCATGGGGTTGATGTCACTGACCTCCTGGAGGCCTTCAGTGAAGAAGCAGGATGAATGTGTGACCTGGGGTCATCCCTGCCCCACCCCCAGCCTCAGAGTTCCCATCTGTTCAATGAGATCCAACCCAGATGTCTGAGACCCCGCTCACACGTCCCTCCGTTTGCTCCCAGGGAGCAGCACCCCAACCTCCAGATCTGCAGGCTGGGGTGGGGCCCAGAAAGGACAAAAGCTCTGCTAAAACCCAGACACGCCTCCCTGGGGGTGGGCGGGGCCCGTGGTGGACAACTCACTCCTCCGGGAACACGATGGCCTCATTCTTGATCTTGCGGTGCAGGGCCAGGATGAAATCATCGATGAATGGGCACTGCGGTGGGGAGAGACAAAGGATGTGGCACCCAGCACCTCAGCTCGCTGGGGGCAGCTCCGGGCTCCTCATGAGCTGCGGCGGGGGACCTCGTCTAACTTGTGCAGGTCCTAGCCCACAGGAGATGCTCAACAAACGTGGACTGAACGAATGAGTGCATGACAACCGCTCGCAGCAAGGCCTGCACTGTCAGGGCCTGAAGTTTGGGAACATGTTCCCTGAGATTCCCACCCTGTGCCTCAGCACGGTCCCTGGAGTGGGAGCGCCTGCGGACGGGGATCTCGGCACGTCAAGGCTGGGTGTCCGGCCTGACCCAGAGCAGAGGTCAAGGACAATTTGTTGAATGAATGAATGAGTGAATATGTAAATGAATGAATGGCACCATCTACACCTCCCTTGGGATGTCTGCTGTCCCAGGACTCCTGCACATGAATCCATCCCCCCAAGGGGACAAGAGGAGAACAGAAAAGTCCCTTTTCCTTCCGTCTTCTCTGAGCTGGGTGGGCTCTTTCAAAAGTCACTTTACTTAAGGACACAAAGGCAGGGCCTGCATCTGTCATGCATCCTGGCCCACGGTGCCCGGCCCATGGTGCCAGGGCTGCCCCACCTCTGCCAGCCCACCCAGCACTCACCTTCCCATAGACAAAGCAGTACAGCGTGACCCCCGTGGCCCACACGTCCAAGGCCTAGAAAGAAACAGCTCGTATCAGTCCCCCAAAAGGAACTGACACCCCTTGGTCACCCAGCTTCAGTGGGCCATGGGAGAGGGCAAGCGGGGAACCTCCTTCCTCAGTCATGTATTCGCTCAACAAACACTCCCAGGCCCCTGTTCCATGCTGGACCCTATGCTGAGCACTGAGGACACAGGGACAGCCAGACCAGGGCCCTTGCTGCCAAGGGTTTCCAATTCTCCTTGGAATGGGCCCAAACCAGACATGTTTCCAACTCAACAGGTACAAAACTCCCCTCATCTACAGGGTCGCATTTGCTGTACGCACGACACAGACGCACCCCAGAAACGACAGCATATGTTGAACTTATACTCGCCAGACCAGCTCTGGCTTCGAGAAGTCACCCCTCTTCCTGATGATCCACTGGAAAAGCCACCATCCACCTTCTTTCTGACAGCTACCTCCACAGCCCCTTGGGGCTTCCCTGCACCCTTGAACGTGCCCTCTCTCTACAAGGTCCTCCTCTGGAACCCCACCTCCTCTCCTAGTATCGACTTTCTCTCTTATGTGAATGATTCTCAAATCTCTGCCTACGTATTCCTGCCACAGATGCCTCATCTGAATCCAATCAGGGAACACCAGACAAATGCAAACTGACATCATTCTACAAAATAACAGGCCTGTTCTCTTCAAAAATGTCAAGGCCAAGCCACTTTTCCAGATTAGAGGACCCCAAAGAGACGTGACAAGTGAACGCAGTGACTGACCCTGGACCAGATCCCGGACCAGAAAAAGAAAAGGCATTAAAGGACAGTATGGGGACAACTGATGGAATCTGAATAAGGTCGATTAGATAACAGTCTTTTATCGATGATAAATGGCCTAACTTTAATAACTGTACTGAGGTTATGTAAGAGAATGCCCTTGTTCTCAGAAAATACCTCCAGAAGTATTTAGTGATAAAGGGGCATAATGTCTCCAACTTCTATAAATATACGGAGAGACAGTGAACAGGTAAATGGGACAAAATGTCAATAACTGGTGAATCTGAATAAAAGATATAGGGGAGTTTTTTGTGTTATTCTTGCAATTCTTCTGTAAATTTGGAATTATATCAAAATTAAAAGTTAAAAAAAAAAATCTCTATCTACAGCTGTCTCCCGAGCTCCACACTCACACACGTGTCCAAGTGCCTCTCGACCATTTCCTCCATGGCAGGACCACAGCTGGGCAGCCAGCGTAGAGCAGGATGTGCCCGGGGACACACAGAACCACAGTCCCTGCTCAGAAACCTTTGCCACCGCCCCTGTCACTTAGGACAAAGCCCAGACCCTTAGGACTTCCAGACCCTTTAAACTCTGTCCAAGCCCCGCTGTGCCCCTCAGTTCCCTTGTAATGTTCTCTGGGCTCAAATTCCCCCCATTCTTCAAGGCCTAGCTCAAAGGCTGCCATATCCAAGAAGTCAGGGGAAGCTCTGATGTCCCCGCAGACACGAGGTCTCCTGCCCTTGCACCATGACCAGAAGGGCAGGGAGCTGGGCCGTCCAGGCTCCGTGTGTTCCACGGCCCAGCCCAGAACTCAGCACAGAGCTAGGCTGGCGGGGAGTATCTGCAGGGAAGACTTGGGGCCGTTTTGCTGGAGAACGAGAGGAGGCCCCAGTTCGGCCAGTTTGTCGGACTCCAGAAGGAGGCAAACATGACGGAGGGGACCATGTTCGGTCCCTCCTGAGACATGAGGACCCTGGCACCCTCAGGTTGGAAATGGGACCCCGTGGCATGTACCCCCGCCCCTCCACCTGAACCCCAACCCAGCCCGGGTCCTGGGAGCCACCTTCCCACTGAAGCTCTGGCCGGACTCAGAAATGGCCTCGGGGGCCATGAACGCTGGGGTCCCGGCCGTGCTGGACAGCCGAGCATCGTTCCCCTCAAACTGGTTGCTGACGCCGAAGTCGGCGATCTTCACGTGCCCGTCGTCCCCCAGGAGCAGGTTGGATGGCTTGATGTCCCTGTGGATGATCTTCTGGTAGTGCACTGCAGAGAGAGGCAGCTCGAGCGCTGGCCTGGGGCCCTGCCGCCCAGACCCCCCACCTGCTGTTGCCTGGCCGTGGAGGCTGCCTCAAACTCCAGGAGAGAAGGAGCTGGGACTTCCTGTCCCCTGCACACATTCATCTCTTGAGGATCTAGGGCCCCCTGCTCAGCTATGCAGTGAAGACACTAACCTAGGCTGTTAGTAACAGAGCCAGGACTGGACTCTTAGGAATCTTTGGACCCCGAGACCAGTGCTCTCTCCATGGCAATCAAGGCATCTGCCACTGAGGGTGGACGTCAGAGGAAACTGGGGGAAGGGGTCCTCCGTAGGCCAGCCCTGGCCCTCCCACATGAGTGTTGTCTACAGGCTTGAAGCCCATCAAAATCTTTCCCCAGTTCCATCCCCCGCACCCAGCCTGTCACAGCTGTCCCTGTTCCTCAGACTGAGGGTGGGATTGTGGGGTATCCTGCAGAGGTATCGCCTCAGCCCTAGGGACTCTGCGCTCATGAGGTTTTGGAGAGGGAGGGCACCCCAGGCCTTGGGACTGCCGGGATGAACGTGGCCGGGGTAAGGGTCAGCCCTCTCTAGTAGGCTGAGCGCCCACCCTGCTTCCTGGGTCCAGCACTGCCGGGAAGAGACGGGCAGCTCAGGCTGAGATGACCAGCGATGTCCCAGCAGAGAAAAGGCACTGACCTCATCCCGCAGCCATCCACTTATGGGCTCCCTGCTCAACAAATATGTTCCCCTGGACCAACGGACCCCAGGGTGTTGGAGGGGAGGGAATGGAATGGGAAGGAGGGAAGGGGAGGAAGGCTGGGGGCAGAGGGAATGAACATCGTATATTACTAAGAATAACAACAGGACCCATGGCCCTATAGCGACTGCCTCCTACGTGCCAGGTACACACAAAGCATTTGACACACACCCATCAGAACACAGACGCTCAGGAGGCTGTGTATTTGACCATGGAAAGTGGGGTCAGATTCTTATCTCAAACCCTGGCATCGCCCTTGAACTCCCAGCTCTTTATCCACATGGATATCCCACAGACGTCTCAACGTATACTTTAGCATTTGTCAATCACATATTTAATTGAGAACTTGATTTCTCTTGTCTGCAACCCCCACCCTGTCTAAACACACACACACACACACACACACACACACACAGCACCACCAAACAAACAACAGAAAAGCTCTGCTCCTCTTCTAGTCTTTCCCATTTAGTTAATGGCCATATTATCAGCTGCTCAGGCCAAAAACCTCAACTCCTCTCTCCTTCAGACCCCACATCCAATTCATCAGCAAGTTCTATGGACTGGACCGATCCGAGTGCTCTCCTACCTGCATGGCTGCAATTGCCCCGTCTGTAAGAATCAGGCCTGAGCCTCCCCGAGCACAGGGCCTTCCCCGGGCAGCCTCAGCTCTCCCTTCTGGGGGCCAGAATCACAAGGCGGGTCTTCATCACCGGGTGCCACCATTTGTCTGCCTGTCCAGTCCCTGGTGCTGACCAATTCACTCCAGAAAGCCCTTCATCATGGTTAGCTGGGTCTTGATGAGGCTCTACCCAAGAGCCAGATGGGATTAGCTTGTTTCTTCTGTTTTTTGTTTGTTTGTTTGTTTGTTTTTTGCAAGGAGAGAGGATGGGAGACAACAGGCCCAGGACAAGAAGTGGGTGGAAGCCAAGCTGGCATGGGGTTGTGTCTGCTGCCGACCACACCAGGGTGAAGTGCCCCCTTCTCACACCTCTAGGCCCTTGTTAGGGACTTTCTGCAAAGCCCTTCCCTCTCTGTGCCTCAGTTTCCCCATAGGTACAAAGACATCATTAAAATGAAGGCAGTGGAGTGGCTCAGATGAGATAAAGACATTCACTGCAGGTCAAACCTCAGCTGGTCCTCACCTGTTCCCCTAGGGAGAGAATATGCTTCTGATAAACCAAGCTGAGATTTCAGAGGGATGGGCTGTGCCCCACTCCCCAAACCAGGCCAGAACCCTAGGTGCCCGCGGGCCGTCTTCTCCCCATGACCAGTTAGTCACCCACTGCTGCCCGCCTCACCTCGTTCACATTTGCTCCCCGCTGCCGCTGCCCTAATCCAGGCCTCACCATCTGTCAGTTGGGCTGTAGTACCAGCCTCCTCCCCGACCAGCTGGTGGCCTCTTGCCCTCCATCCAGCCACCGTACGCTGCCAGACGGAGCTTTCCAAGACACAAATCCTGCCACTCCCCTCCCCTGCTCAAAGCCCTCAGGGGCTCACAAGGCTGACAGGATAAAGTCATGAAAGTCCTCTATGGAGGCATTCCCAGCCCTCGCGGTGCAGCCTGGACAGTGTTTACAGCATCATCTTTCCCTTGCCCTGGCTCCCAGGTTGGACTTAACCACACTGAACTTCTCCCCCGTCTCAAATAGTACTCCCCTCCGTGCCGCTGTCATGCAGTTCTCTCCGCCTGGTGTACTCCCTCCCACCATGCCTCAAACTAGCCAACGAACTCCTACTCATCTTTCAGGACCCTACTCATAAGTGGCCTCCTCCAGGAAGCCACCCCTGGTCCCTTAGTGCTCTGACAGCCTCTGTGCCTCCCCAGCCTTGGCAGGCACTGCTTAGTTTCCCGTCCCTCCCACTAGGCTGCAAGATCCTTGAGATCACTTCTGGGTCTTTGGCATCTACACGCCCCCAGCTGGCACTTAGTAGGTACTTGTAAATGGATAAATGAATGAATAAATGAATTCCACAGATAGATAGAGGCTAAAGGAACATTCTCCCTTCTGAGCTCTCATCACCTTAGGGCCCCTCACAGTAAACGGACTCTGCTACCACCCACTGGCCCCATACCAGGACAGACTCTTCCTCGAGCCGCTGGACATAAATTCCTTCCCACAGCCCTTGAGGCCCAGTGGAGAGGCTAGGCTTGGCTAAGAATTCAGCAGAGTTGAGATACACGCTGAACGTCCAAGGCGCAGGCCGCCGCGGTGACGACCAGGCGCCGAGAAGGACCTGGCGCATGCCCAGTGAAGTCTGCCGCCACCCTACCTGTTCAGGAAGTTTCGGCCCCGCCTACAGGCCCATTTCCCCACCCCCAGCTAAAGATGATTGGTAGATCAGCACTGACTGACAGGAACTGCTCAGAGTCTGCTCAGCCTGGGTTGCGTCTCCTCTTGTGTCCCCTCCACTCTCCCCGGGTCTCCAGCCTCAGCGGGGCAGGCAGCCCCTTACTCACAGTACTCAAGACCCAGGATGATGTCCCTCAGGTAGAGACGAGCTTGCTCCTCGGGGAAGGGCTTGTCGCAGGGCACTTCCATGACCGGCCTATGGGGAGGGCGGGGAGGAGGGATGTTTCGCCGGAATCAGGATGAGTAAAGGCAGGTGTCAGGTGGAGGGGAACAGGGACTGGGCCGTACAGACCCCTCAGGACCTTTTGGGAGCCCTCTATGCTCGAACGGGTCCCTAAAACCCCAGAGAGTAGCTTCTCCCATATAATGAAAATTTGAAAACACGCGTAGACGCAAATATCCCTTTTCAATCACTACAATTTCAAATTAGCTTTATCTTAATTTCTGATTGGCTTGGTATTCCTTCTTCTAAGTACTTAATTATCTATAATCAAACAGCTGTGATGATGCCATTTAGGGCAGTGTTTTCAAACTGTAGGTCCAGGACCAAGAAGGTCATGAAATCAATTTAGTGGATGCCTACTGCTTTTTATTTTTTTCCTAATGAAGTAAAATATATCAGAGTCTATCACATGTAATACACTGTTTTATAAAACTTTGGTTTCAATTACAGATATGGATGGCAATGTAAAACTTGTATTTCTTACTTTGAATTGAGGTCAAAAACGCTGAAAGCCCCTGAGTCTTAAAAGGACACCACTCCCTGCCCCTTCCCCAAGTTGGTCTTTAGGTAGCCTCCCAGGCAGAGAGACAAGTCACAGCCTGTATTCAGGCCTTGGCAGTTAGGGCCCCCAGTCCACCCAGCCCCGTGCCCTTTACTGCATGTCTGCTGTTCTTCACATACCCTGAGAAGGTCAGACAAGGCAAACATGAGTTACAACCCTAGATTTCATCAGTGACTTGCTGTGTGACTTTGGGCAAGCCACTTACCCTCTCTGAACCTCAGCTTCCCTTCCTGTAAATGGGAGTGAATGGCATCCCAGCCACCCAACTCACAAACTTGTAAAACTGAAAGAACTCTGTGATTTGAATACAGATGAGAGTTGAGTTCCATCTCTATACTTTTGCTGGAGAAACATTCCTTTCTTCTCTCTCTTCTCCATCAAAATCTTCTTTCCAGTTCTTCAAGGCCTGGCTCAAAACCCACCCCCTCTTCCTGAGGCCTCCCTGGCTATTCCAGTCTCACTGACCCCACCGGCCTTCAAAGAATCATCCTCTTGGTCTCTCGTTCTGCCCCCACTCCCCAACCCAGACCACAGCTCCCTAAGGACAGAGGCTGGACCTCTTTTTCTCGCTAGAGTAGCTGACCCCAGGACTAGGGATACAGGGAAGGAAAGGAAGACTTGACCTGCCTGATCGGGATGGGGAACTCACCCCTTTCTCAGGAGGTCAAACACTGAAAGAAAAGAGAAGAAAAGAAGAGTAGGTAAGGTGCAGCCAGGCTGAGAAAACAGCCGATGCCAAGGTTCCTCCCTGTTCTGGAGGGTGGGAGAGGGGGCAGGCATCCAGGCATACTTGAGGGAGGGATAGGACAGGGGTCCCAGGGTATCAGAGGAAGTAAATGAGCATGGGTCAACTATGGACCTGCCTCACTAGATTCTCAGGTGCCGAGTGAGGACCATCAACATAGACCCCTTTTATGGGGGGGGGGGAAACTGAACCTCAGAGAAGGGGTAGGAATTTTCCTACAGGTCATAGCAGATAGGCAGGTAGGAGAGGGAGTGGAGGCTAAAGACTTGGCCTCTGATTCCTAAGCCAGTGTTCCTTCTGGCCCATTCCCTGAGAGCTGCTAAGCCCAGCCCTGAATCAGGCACCAAGGACTTAAGTAATAACAACAGCATACTATTACTAATAATAGCTAATGTGTCTTGTATATAATAACTCATTTTCTTCTCACATCAACACTATGAGGTAGATACCATTATTATCCCCATTTTACAGGTGAGGAAACTGAGGCACAGAGTTATCAGATAGGGTCTGGGAACCCACATCACATAGCCTACTTCCTGTATCTATCTGATCCACCATCTCTCCGATCAGTGGAGTGGGGGCTTGGGAATATTTGTTGAATCGAACTGGATATCCTGAGCCTGGCTCAGCAGGGCTGGGCAAGAGAATCTGGGCCTTGAGAACATGTGTTTCCTCCCTGCCCCCAGGAGGTCAGTGCGTTGCACACAGCCCATCTACACACGTCAAGTGTGTCTCCGGGAAGCACTCAGACCCACCGGGGTAAGCTGCTTTGGGGACGAGCTGGGTCACTCACCCAAATAGAGATTGTCCTCAGCTGGGTCATCCAGGACCTGGTGAGAGGGAGCACACATGAGGGTGAGTCTTGGGGAGTTATGGGGTGGGCATCCCAGGCTGTCTCATCCTCACCAGCCCTAGGACCCCTAGTGTGCTCCACAGCCACCCTGGACGATGCAGCAGGAACTCTGCAGGCACCAGGCAGATGAGGCCTCAGAAATCACTGGCCCCGACCTGGGTTCACCACATGGCACCCAGCCCCTCTTCCCCTCCTGCCATGATGGGGGCTCACTTCTTGCCTCTGGGGCAGCTCGTCCCCCTCCATGAGACCTTGAGAGCATCCCAGAGCGGCCTGAACTGACCCCAGAAGCCCCCCGGCAGTCCCCACCCCAATTCTGGCCCCGCCCTTGGCATACTTCCCTCAGTAGGACGGCTGGGTCCGTGCCAAGGGCCCCCTGCACCAGAGGCTACTCCACAGGCCTCACTGGCTCACCGCCTACCTCGATCAGCTTGACCACATTCACGTGGTCCAGTTTCTTCAGGATGGCGATCTCCTGGTACACCCGCTCCAGGGGCAGCAGCTGCTTGGCTGGTCCTGCCTGGGCAGCCTGGGACCCTCTAGGGGGAGGGCGACCTGTGACCAGGAAGGGGAGTCCAGCCAGTTGCAGAAGGTTGGGCCTCCCCACGGCCCTGCGACCAGCCTCAAGCAAGAATCTTGCAAGACCACGGCCTTGGCCTCAACCCCCCAAGCACAGTCCCACCACCAGGCCTTTGCTCACGCTCTCCGTCCTAACAAAAACTGGCCTCCGAGGTGTCCTCCTCCTCTGCCCCCAGGCCAGGAGCTCCCAAGCCCAGGACCAGACAGATACGTACGTGGAAAGCCTCGTTGCTTCAGTAACTTCTTCTTGGAAAGAACTTTCATTGCCTGAGGAGGGAAGGGCAGACATGCCACTTGTGTGAAGCCACCAGGGGCTAGAACAGGCTGGCTACATGTGCACTGAGGTCCAGAAAGGCACATGAGCATCTGTCACTGGCACTGAGGATATGGACTGGCTGCAGTTATGCTGGCTTAGGAGGGAGCCGTATCTGAACCTAGGCCTCACCCCCATTCCCCGCAACAAGCCTTTCTAGAGCTCTCCCCTTAGAGGCATCCAGCCTCTGCTTGCATATTCCCAGGGTCAAGAAGCTCATTCCCGAGAATTCCCTGGTGGTCCCGTGGTTAAGAATCTGCCTTCCGAGGCAGGGGACGTGGGTTCGATCCCTGGTCAGAGAACTAAGATCCCACATGCCGCGGGGCAATGAATCCCACGCGCCACAACTAAAGAGCCTGCGTGCTGCAACTAGAGGGAGCTCACTCCATTCACAGGCAGCCTTGTCCTCTGTCTTACCACAGCCTCTGCCCACCCCCCCAGCCTCCTAGGGCCCAGCTTGGAGGGGCCCCAGACTCACATAGTGCCGGTCTTCACTTTCGTTGTAGGCCAGCCTCACCACGCCGTAGGCACCCTGCAGATAGGCACAGGTCAGCCCCCGCTGGACAGGACAGCCTCCCCCAGGACTAGCCCAGGAGAAGGGGAGCCTGAACAGCTCCAGCCCCCTCCTCCCGCTTCCCATCTCCACCCCTGCCACCAGTGGGCATAAATTTCAGGCGGGCAGGGAGAGGGCTCCTATGCCCTGGTCACTGCCCCTGCCGGGCTCAACACAGCTCTATGCCTTCCCCAGTCCCTTCCATCAAAAACTCTGGGGAGGGGACTTCCCTGGTGGCGCAGTGGTTAAGAATCTGCCTGCAAACGCAGGGGACACGGGTTCGAGCGCTGGTCTGGGAAGATCCCACGTGCCACGGAGCAACTAAGCCCGTGCGCCACAACTACTGAGGCTGCGCTCTAGAGCCCGTGCTCCACATTAAGAGAAACCACCGCAGTGAGAAGCCCGCACACCACGACGAAGAGTAGCCCCCGCTCACCGCAACTAGAGAAAGCCCGCGCACAGCAACGAAGACCCAACACAGCCAAAAACAAATAAATAAATAAATTTATAAAAACAAAACAAAACAAAACAAAAACCCTGGGGAGTCAGGAATCAGGAGTCATCGCCCACCCCCGACCCCAGGTGTTTCCTATAGAGGACAAAACTTTCCTCACTTCCAGGCTAGGACCTTCTTGGCCCAGCCTCACATTCCCAGAGGAGGACAGGGGATTTTGCCAAGAAGAGGATCTGGACAGGCTGCCTCCGCAAATCCCCCAGACAAGTTCCCACTGCTCCTGGCCTGCCCCCGGGCCTACCTTGCCAATCTCACTCTGCAGCTTGTACTGGTTCAGCTGCACACAGTCCTGGTGGGGGAAAGAGAGAGGATATCAGGTAAAGCTTGATCCAGAAACAGCACTGCTCCCACTCCAGGAGCACGTCCAGGGCCCCATCCTGGCCCCAGGCCCCTTGCTCCCAGACCCTGGGTCTCACCAACCTTTCAAGTTTACATAGGCAAGTGAGTTAGTGCCAATGCCAAAAGTGAAGCCGAAAGTGACAAGACTTGGACAGTGTTTGAAAACATGAATGGTGAAGCATGCCTATGCTTTGCTCCCTAGGAAGTGATGGAAAAATGCACTGATTCCTACCTGGATGCTGGGGGCTGGGAGACCCTGATGGGAGAAACCCATGAGCAAGTATTTCCAGAAGCAGCTGAATGAGGAGACTGCATGGACAAGAAAGATGAGGAGAGCCTTGGGGACAGGAGACCAGAGCCCTGGCTCAGGCGTGAAAAGCTCAGCTTCTGAAGCCTGTAGATTGCTCAGTACTTGGGTTCCCTTTCAGATCTAAGTGGCAAGGATGGAGCCCAGAGGCTGGAAGCCTGCTGGCAGCTTCTGAGTCAGAGCAGACTCTAAGAGGCAGGATTAGAGGTGGAAGGCTCAAGCTGGGGAAGACTTGGGGGACAGGAGGATGCACTGTCTACCTTCAAATCTCTAAGAGGACTTCTTGGGGGAATAAGGGAGGGACCTATTTCCTAGGCCTGGACTGGGGGTGGGAATGGTGAGACTTACAGGAGGCAGCAATTGGCTCAGATGAAGCTCCCCCGGGTGGGAAGAGACTGTGTAGTGAGGTAGTGAGCTCCTCAGCTCTGGGGGTATGCAAACCAAAGGCTAGACCGCTGTGTGGCAGGGACAGGAACAGCAAAGGGCCTTCACCAAGGACTACTGAAAAGCTCGTGGGCACCCCCTAGCTCCGCCCCACCAACCTCTGCGTCCGAGATGGCCACGTGGTGGGACTCGATGGTGGGCCTGCGCCATGCCCGTGGGGAGATGTGGCTGGCAGGCCCTGTGGCGTAAGGCGCAGCCTGGGCCTCCAGGCAGCTCCCCGCTGGCCGCTCCTGCAGGGAGAACTTCCTAGCCGAGAGGCCGGGCCGGGCGGCAGGGCATCTTGAAGTACCCCCGGGGATCACGGAGGCAGCTCTGGCCCGTGGTGAAGGGTGCACACAGTTCCTGGTGGGCTCTGGGCTGCCATCCATCTCCTCCAAGTGGGCCACATCCATGGCTGCCACTCGCTCCACCAACTCTGCCCGAGGGTCCTGGCAGCAGACCGCTGGGCCCCCCTCCATTGCCACAGTCAGCGGGTTCCTCTGTGCAGCCTTATTGGGAACCTGAGAAAAGAGGGCAGAGAAGCCTTCAATCCCAGCCACAGAGCAAGGAGGTCAGATTTCCAGGCCCTTCTCCCATCGTGGCCACAAACTGTGAGTCCCACCTCCATGTCTACCTGGCCTGTTCCCTCTGCCTGGGTTGCCAGCATCCAGACTCAGGTCTCCCTACTACCTAAAGGAATTCCAGGAACTCATCTGGCTCTGCTGCACACCAGCCCTCTAGACCTCAGTGTCCGCATCTGTAAAACAGGCACAGTCACATCAGCCTTCCTGGCTTCACAGGGAAGCAGGGAGAATCTGATATTCTGGAGTCAGGACAGACAGACATGGGCAGAACACTGGAGGCCCAGCAGTACTGGGAGGAACAGAGCCCCAGGTCAGCTCAGGCCCCCATCCAGCCGACAGCGCAGTGACTCACAGCCCCACCCCCTGACAACAGAGCATTCCAGTGCCGCTGCTGTGGCCGCCTGGAAGCTGAGCTGGGCTCCTGATGCTCCAGGCCCCCCCACCCCCACCCCTCACTGCTTCCAGGAAGACTTCCCTGGGTCTCCAGCCTCTCCCACCCGTCTCACTTCCTCCAGGAGACCCTCCAGGGCCACAGGGCAAGTCTCCCATTCCTCTCTTCCCTGCCCTAGCAGAGCCGGCAACCCAGGACAGGGTCCATTAGAGGAGGAGGCTGCTACTTTGGTGACTGTGAAGAGAGACTTCACTGCACTTACTTTTCCTGGTTTTTCCTTCCAGTTTATTCACGTGGCTAAAATGTTCCCCACATCTGTTCAGGCTGAGATGCTACCCCTGGCCTGGCCTTATATCCACACTGGCCCTATTGCAGTCTGAGCCCCCATCTAGGCTCCAGGCCAAGGACTAACTCCAGCTTGAACCCTGAACCAACCTCCAACATCCAGCCCCAGACCTCACACTCGACTACAACTCTGGGCTGAACCCTGACCCACGACTGAACCCTGATACTCAGGCTGGGACTCCATTTCTGCCCCAGGCTGAGCACTGGCCCCACCCCACTCGATGCCCCTCCCCTTTCCTGGACCAGACTCAGCATCTTCTCAAGAAAAGGAAGTAAATGGACTCCTGACCCTCTGCCCTTCCTGTCTGGTGGTAACTTGTGCTGTCACCACACAACAATTTTGAGAACGTGGTCTCCGTTACACCCCTTATTCCCCCATCACCTTGCTTTGACAGATGTCAAGGAGGCGGGGTTCACTGGGGTCCACTGGCCACAGAGGAGCCTGGGCTGGGTTCCAGTCCTGCCTGCCAACCTACTGTGGGCCCTGGGCAGCTCCTTCCTGACTCTGAGCCTCAGTCTCCCCATCTGTACCACAGATGCAGGACCTTCCCAGATTCCTAAGGCCACAGCAAAACTTGGAGATGGATTGTGGGTAAGGGTGTGGTCCAGAACCCCTGTGCCTGGCACACAGTGTACTGTATGAGTAGAAGCCTAGTGGAGCTGATGTTGGCATGCAGAAAGGGAGAAGGGAATTTAGACTGGCAACAGGAAAAGACATGGACACTGGACCTAAAGGAGTGAGGGGAGTGGGGGTTGGTGAGGCTAGAACATCAGGGAGGCCTCCCTGGAGGAGGTGAGAGTGGCAAGTAGGAGTAGAACACTGGGGAGGACTCTGAAGTAGGTGAGGAAGGGAGTAGGGCTGGAGTATCATGGAGGCCTCCTTGGAGGAGGTGGAATGGAATTAGAGCATCAGGGAGGCTTTGGGAACCAGATGGTTGCAGGAAGGAAGAAGCCAAGGCTAAAGGGAGCCCTACAAGCCTGACCCACCCTGTAGGTGGCTCACCCTGCCGCCCCTCCCCCTCACTCTGTAGGCCCTTTTTCTCCCACCAGAATATACACTCCAACAGGTTAGGGCTCTTGTCTGCCTCGTCTCCATAAGATTACTGGCATCAGCAGCAGCGCCCGGCACAGAGCAGCAGTAAATGTTTTTTGAATGAATGAGTAGTTGCCATAGTGATCATTATAGTCCTGGCCCCATTAGACAGATGGAAAAGCAGAGAGGGGGAAGGAGACCCCAAGGAGCCTAAGCCGAGCCCATGGCAGGGAACAAATGACAGTGTGCGGAAGCCCTGTCCTCTTGTCCACAGCAGTGACCAAGGGGACTGAGAGTCACCACAGGCAGAGGCCACAGGCTGCCCTATAGCCCATCAAATTTGCATAAGATCTCCCTGAGGCTGTTACCCCAGCCACCGGCCATCCTCCTTCAACTCTCTCTCCCTCTTTTCTCAGATTGGGAAAGTAGGGCCCAGCAAGGGGCAGGGATGGGTCTGAGGTCACACAGCAGGTCAGGGCAGAGCCTTCCTGCTCCAGTTTGGGGCCCTGTTACCTGGTTGAGGACCCAGGCTCTGAAGCCAGGCTGCCAGGCTGTGCTCCTTCCTGGCCATGTGCCCATGGGCAGGTGCCTGCACTCTGTACCTGGGTTTTCCCCATCTGCGGAATGAGTTTAACAGCAGTGTCACCCGCCCACGGGGCTGTGAAAAGGAGTGAACACCCTTCCCGGGCTCGGAACCAGGCCTGCCACTAACAAAGCCCCGTAATACAGAGTTGTGCTGCTGTTGTGATTGCCTGGGACACGTGGTGGCCCAGATGGATGCGCGGGTGGCACAAGGCAGCTGTGAGGGCTGACGTCAGGCCCTCCGCCCTCCCTCCCTCCCGCCTGGATCAAATTCAGGTGACTAAGCACGTCTGTGCAGGAGGCGCCCTGGGGAGGCCCCAGGTTCCTGCCTCGTGTCCAGGAGACGGGGCCGTGTGTCCGCATGAGAGAGTACGTGTAAGCAGGGCTGTAGGCTTGGGGTGACAGTGTGTGTGTGTGCGTGCGTGTGTGTGCGTGCGTGCGTGTGTGCGTGTGTGTGTGTGTGTGTGTGTGTGTGGGGCCAGGGGCAGTGGAACGCACACAGGAGGTCATCTGCATGGAAACAAAAATCTATGGGTGTGGTCTATACTCGTGGATAAGTGTGTTCATGTGCATTGTGTGCCTTTAGGTCTTTGTGTATGTGTGCCCCAGAATGGGGGGTGGGGCCTGCGCCCCTGGGGGCCATAGCAATCTGATCCCACAGCGTCTCAAGTTTGAACTTCCCACATGGTCAACAGTCTAGCAGCCTGGGGCTGCCTGCAGGGCTGGGCTGTGTGTCTTGGGCGGGACCCACCCCTCTCTGGAGGCTCACCCAGGGGGTCTCTCAAGACCCCTCTCTAAGCTGAGGCCTCCATGCACACTACGTATAAACTGACTCAGCAGGTGGCTAGGAGCCACCTGGGCAAATAGAAGGACAGACAGGCTGGCACCCAGGCCCAGGGCAGAGCAAGGACTCCTATGGGCGTGGGGAGCCTCCCAGGGACCAGCCTGGTCCTGCAGCCGAGAATGGCCAGGCTCAGGCGCTCACTCACTGAAAAAGGCTACCCCAGTCTGTCCTCCCAGCCTGTGGCTGTGCTGTCTGGACGACTCACTGAACTCCTTGGGGCCTCAGCTTGCTCGTCTGTGAACTGCACAGAGAGCCGCCATCACGCCGCCTCCCAGGGCTATGGGAGGAAATGGATGAGACTGTGAACGTTGAACAGGATTGTGCCTGAGCGATGTGGAGCTGGGAAGAGTCTGTGGCACAGCCACCGAGAGGGAGCCCTGATGTACATACAAAGCACAGCCCCATATCTGCCCCCCCGCTCGCAGGTGGCCTGGCACATTACCCCCTCAGGCTTCTCCTCCCGGGCTATGTCCCTCATCCACAGGTGTCTGGCTATTCCCAAGGGATGCAGACCCTGGCTCCAGACCCTGCTTGGCCACGCCTGCCCCTCAGGATGTGCCTGATCACCTGGGTCCCTCGGAGGAGGCCCAGCGCAGGACAGAGCAGGGGTATCCTGCTCTCATCCACGCTGGTTCAAGCAGCCTCTCCTGGGATGACTTCAGGTACTAGTCAGGCCTCACCCTGAGTTCTGGAAGACTGCTGGGAACCTCAGGGCAAGGTTGAGCAGGGGTCCAGCTATCATCTAGGCAAGACAAGCTGTGGCCCTGGCTGGCAGAGGGCAGGCCAGAAGGGAAAGCTGTAAGGAGGCGGTCCAGTCACCCGGGCCAGACACAGAAAGTGGCCTTGACATCACTGGGCTGCCTCACGGGAACCATGTTTATGCTCCTGACAAGTGTCTGGATGGCCCTGGCAACGGGTGGCCTCTGTGGCTCCCGCCCCCGCCCAGGATGACTCAGTCCCTTCGAGGGAGGCCCAGGCGTCTGTCTTGCTCCAGGACGCCTGCTGTGAGGACGCGCCCCGCACCCCCATTCCCAGGGAGGCCCCAGGCACCGTGATGGGCTCTGTGCCTGATTCAGCACGGCAGCCCTCAGCACATCCTGAGCGCCCTGGGCTGATGGTCTCCAGGCCTCCCCCTCTCCCTCTGCCCCCGCATCCTCCATACCAGGTCTGCGCCTCCTCCCCTCCGTGTTCCCTGGCAGCTCGGTTCCAAGAGGCTCCAGTTCAACTCAGCATTTCTCCGAGTCTGCTCTTCCTCCTCTGTCCCCATTGCTGAGACGAGTGCCCCCCACCCACCCAGTTCTCCCAGCCCAGAAACCCAGGAGCCCTCCTTATCAGCCATCTTTCCCCTTTTGCCCATCCTTATCCCCCCAACCCCACACTTACTCTCCACTCTGGCTGCAGTTCCCAAACTGCGGACTCTGTTCTGCTGCCAGGCCTTTGTCCAAGCTGTGCTTTCTGCCAGAACACACCTCCCTCTCCTTTGCTGCTGGAGGGCAGTTCAGACATCTCCTTCCTGATCTCCCCACTGCTGTGCTGGATGAGGTCACTGAGCCCAACTCCTTAAAAAGTCCAGACGCAGACCTCCACTTTTCTTCTCCCCTGTTTCCGCCACACAGATCACCCACCTCCAGGCTCACACCCCAACCCCACCACACCCCATCCTCCAGACCAGTTGCTAGAGGGAATATTCCTAACACGCATGCAGATTTGGTCTCAGTTTTTTCAGACCTGGCCTTCCGGGATCTTGGAATCTGGAGGACAGAAGGGCAGGAGACCTAGACTCAGACTGGGGCTCACAGGCTAGGGAGCAGCCAGGGACACAGACTTCTGGGACGCAAACCCAGAGTCATTCATTCATGCAAGAAAAACTCATTGAGCACCTGCTGTATATGCCCTGTGCTAGGCGCCAGGAAATAAAGCAGCGAACCAAAAAGACAAAGTCCCTGCTCTGATGAAGTTTAATTTCTAGTGGGGCAAGAAGCAACAAACAAGAAAGCCAGGAATTAATAGATGGTATGTCAAACAGTACATGCTATGGATAAGAAATACAATCGTGTCAGGGGAATCAAGAGTGAGGCACTGGGGGGTGCTATTTATACAGGGCGATCAGGAAAGGCCTTTCTGATGCAGGATTTGAGCAGAATCTGAAGGAAGTGAGTGAGCGAACAGTGTGGATATCTGGGGAGGGCATTTTAGGCACAGCAACCGCAAAGGCTGTGAGGTGAGACGGTGCTTGCACTGTCTGAGGAACAGCAAGGAAGCCGATGTCACCAGAGTGGGGTATCCACGTGTGAGAGGTACCTGATGGCAAGCAGAGTTACACCTGAATGACAAGGCCCAGTCATTCACTGTGCCTGGGCTCACGGATGGCTTCCTGGAGGAGGTGGCATTTAAACTCTTTCATGATTGCTGAGTACGGGTTTCAGAGGAGAGGATAGAAGTTCACACTGTGCATGACAGAGAGCCACTTCCTGGCTGGGGCTCAGGGCTTGGCTTTGGGGGTCTTTTTGGACAGAGACCAGGAGGCCTCGAAAGCCAGAGGAAGGTTTTGAGTAGGGGAGCGACTCGATTTGGATGAGGTTTTAAAAAATCATCCCTCTGCCTTCTGTGGGGACTGAGGGTAAGAGGCCAAGGAAGAGGCAGGAGTCCCCAGAGTCTGTGGGCCTAGGACACGGTCTGGCACACGGTGGGTGCTCAGTCTGTATGCACTGAAGGAAGGAGTGGGGGCTGTGAGGGCAGTCGGTGCACCCTCAAGGACACAAGATGTGTGCTCCTCCCACTTCCCGGCCCACTTGACAGATATACAGCCCCATATGAGCCCACCAAGGCACAGTCCTGTGACCTGGGACACAGCCTTCTCTACACACCCCCTGCACCCTCAAGATACACACACACACACACACACACACACACACACACACACACACACACCCCACTCCCGGAGAAGGCGCACGCCGATACCCGCGTGACCCGCCCGCACACACCACTCCATCCTGTAATGCACACAGGCACACTCCTGTGCCCACGTGACACACGCACACCCGCCTCCAAACACCACACACAGGTCCCTGTGCACGTGTGCACCCTCCGAGCCACCAGTTCTGTGCCTGTCGGGCCGCCGAAACCGCAGCATCCACCTCCGCCGCCCCCCTCCACCCCCGCCCCAACCAGGGAGAACTGCGCAGCTAAAGCCACTCGCGTCGCATCTGTCCCATTCATCCCCCCGCCCCAGCTCCAGCACGAAGACTCGGAGGTGGGCAGTGTGGGAGGGGCGCTCCGCGCAGATCCACACGTGGGTTCACCTGTCTGGGCCCACTCCGCATAGACACGGCCTCCCACCAAGAGCTGGGGCTGGGGTAGTGCGCCAGGTATGGACGCGGTCCCGCAGACCAGAGCTGGGAGAGGGACGCAGACGGCGGGGCGCCCTCATAGATGCGGTCCCGGATGCCGGCGCAGACAGAAGCAGGCTCCGGGAGGCACCTAATAGACTGGGCCCCGCAGACCGAAGGGGGAGGATCCCCGCATGGACTAGTTCTCGGCTGTCCTCGTAGACGCAGACCATCCTTCTCGCCTGCAGGCTCCGAGCAGACGTTCAGGCGTTCGTCCCCTCCCGCTCCCCGGCCCCCTCCCAGCCGACCCCTACCTCGGTGCCCAGCGAGATTCTCCGCGGCCCTGAGGACGGCCAGGCTCGCTCCCGCGGCGCGCATCCCGCCCCGCCCGCCTATCCAGGGCCGAGATCACGGAGCTCAGACCGCCGGCCCCTGGGCTCCAAGCGGCGCTCGCTCCCCAGCCAGCCGCCGCGCTCGGCGCGCGCTCATTGGCCTGGCCGCGCGGCCCCCCTCCGGCACCGCCCAATCAGAGCCCAGGACTCCCGCCCGGCTCCTGGAAGGGAGGGGCCGCGGCGGGCGGTGGCTCTGGAGGGGTACCTCCCCCTGCGGCTGGACCGGCCTCGTCACGCCCCCATCGCCCCGCGGCAGACTCTCTGGGGTCACCCGAAATCCCTCCAGGCCGCGGCCTGGGCCCCTTAGCTGGGCCTCGAGGGTACGGTTGCTTCCCCCCCCAAAACCCTTTGTCCCCTAAACATCTCGGCCTGGGAGGTGCAAGAGCGCACCCCCTGCACCCGGAGTGGGGGGCGGGGATGAGGCGCAGTGAGTACTAGAGGAGGGGCGAAGCGAGATCAGCAAAGGGACGGGGCCCGGGCCGAGGGCCAGGGAGGAAGGCCTTGAATGGTAGGTAGACTCAGGAGTTTAGCCTTCTGCTGCGTGGAGGGTAGGGGAAACGGGAAGCCGTTTTAACAGAATGCTGGGGTCATAGTCGGATTCTCATTTGGGGAAGGG